GGGTGTGTGCACTCAGCAGAGAAAGAGACAGACAGACAGACAGACAAACATGGATACAGACACAGCGAGAGGGAAAGTGGTTCCTTGGCGTAGTGATAATACATTACAGTACTTATGAGAAGTCAGTTCCCCCATGCTGGTATGGTTTGATTCCCAGGCCTGGTCAGCCTGAAACACACAGGTACATGTGCTCATGATCTAATGGGTTAGAGGACTGGAAGAAGGGGATTGCAGTGTCAGCAGACCCTGTGGAGGGTGCTCGTCTCTCTCTCTTTTTCTCTTTCTTATTTCCTTTCACATACACACTCATGCACCATACCATGAACAAAGAAAAAAAAATGTGATGTATGAGGTAGCTTATTTCTAGTATGTCAAAAAAAATTTGAGGTGATTTTCTTCTTCCCCAAGGCATGGCTAAAGCTCTTCTATTTTGGCATGAGGCAGCCACAGAACAAAGCTCACATGCCTTAGGCTGGTGAATGAGATAGGCCTTGAGTTGTTTTCACTTTCCTATCTAATCCCAGTTTGATTTGGTTGAGACATGGTTGATCCTGGACAGCAGGGACACAATTGAAACAGGCCAGAACTGCATTGCTGGCCTGGTTCATTTGATATCAGTTGGATGAATTTTAACTGAGTGAATGCAATACAAATTGCAACTGAAGACATCCATCTTTTTGATGATTTAAAAATGCATCTTGTTTTTGTTAGGAAGAAAGACTATGCTGATTTCCCAAGTGCTGCCAGAATCAGATGTTTGAATTGGAAGACACTGTATAAATTATCTAGTCCACCCCCCTCACTTTATATTTAGGGAAGCTGCGATATAAAAAGACTTAATAACTTGCTGAAGGTCACATTGATAGTTGGTGGTAGAGCTGAAACTAAAAGCCATATTTTCTGTCTTTGACCAGGGCACTGTCTTTGAGTGTTTGCTACATCTAAGGGTAGAAAAGTGAGAAATAATCTTACTAAACAATTGCTGTCTTATAGACCTCCATACAAAAGATTATTTACTGATTTTAATAGCATTGGTGCACACTTTTTCTTTTTTTTTTACTATTGAGCACATGCGCTCATTAAAGACAGAGAGAAAGTGAGAAATAACCCCTTGGGGATGATGGCCAAGACACAATCCCTTTCCCATTTTCTTCTTAGGATTTTTCTTGGCACACATGCACATGTGTCCCATGAGATTCTTAAGACACTGTGTCTGGGACTTGAACTGCAAAGCTGAACATATGGGATACAGTACCTTAACCTCCACACCACCTGCTAGTGCATTGGTGCACACTTTTAAAAAGATAAGAATTCTATAAAACTTAATTCTTTAAGAGCAGTTTCAATCTGGGCCTTTGGAGAGCAGAGAATATACATCGTTATTGTTTACCTGGTGCAGTGCCTTGTCAGTGGAAGCTCAAGCAGCGTGTGTCATTGAATTCTCAGTCTATGACAATGCAAGCTGATGGTGATGCCAGGAGCCAACAGTTACATCAGAGTCCCTGAGTGATGCTTAAAAATGCACAGCGTGGGATTGTACCTCAGTTTCACTGAATCAATTTTAGCAGTTCTGTCCTAAAAATATGTATTATTAACATAATTTTTAGATGATTAAAAACTTTTGTTTTTCATATGGGGCCCATGTTCTTACTGGTCAAAGACAGAGAGAGGAAAGTAACCCCCTGGGAGGATGGTGACACTGCAATCTCTTTTCCATTCTCTTTTCAGGATTTTGTACATGCACATACACCTACATGGAGTGTTCCTCAAGTTGTTGGGTCCAGGACTCAAACCATGCTGTCAGCCATGTGGGATCCAGCTATAATATATATATATTATATATGATTGGTCTGAGACCTTCTTCCTCATAGATTTCTAATGTTTCAGACCAATAAATTCCAGATGAACATGTGTAAGGAAAAGTTTTGATTTCTGTTTACAATTTTTAATTAAAAAAATAAAGTGAACATTAGTAACATTTGGTACATGGGTTAGTATTGCATACTTAAATCAGAGTTTTGCTTCATGGGTAACATAGGATAATCATGGCACCTTGAGTGACAGTGGAAATGTCTCAATACAGACAGTTGCCCATTAACTGCTGCTGGAATATGGCTATACCATGCATTTCAATGCAATGTGTTGCTTTGGATTGTTTAGTTTTGTAAAATCACACACACATACACACACACACACACACACACATACTTATTTTTAAAAATAACCTCTATATATGTGATTCAGTTGTGTCAACCTGGCTAGGTTATGATGCTCAATTGTTTGGTAAAGAAGATGCTATGAAGGTTTTTCTTCTTTTTCATTTTTTCTGTTAGAGGGCATATATGCTCATCAGAGAGAGGGTAGGGAGAAAGCATGGAGCATGATTATGCTAAAATCTCTTCTCTTCCATTTCTGCATTCTGTTGGGATACTGGACATACATGCATATGTTTTTCAAGGCACATGGGCCAGGATTCAAACTGTGGTTGGCCATGTGGGCTCTGGTTTTCTTAACCACTAGGCAATGGGCATTTTTTAGATGTGATTAATGTTTAAATCAGTAGACTTGGAGTAAAGTCTATTACTTGCATACTGTGGTGGGACTCCTTCAATCAACTGATGCCTTTAAGACAAAAGCTGAGGTTTCTTGATGAAGGAACTCTCTCTCAGGAATGCAATATAAAAATCTGCCTGTGTTTCCAGTCTGCTGCCTGTGAAATTCATACTCAAGACTGCAACATCAACCCTCACTTGGATCTATAGCCTGTTGATCTGCTCTGTGAATTGTGTGAACCAAATTCTTAAAATAAAATTTTTTAAGACTGCAGATGGCTTAATGGTTACGTTGTCAGACTCCCATTTAGTTGACTGGGGTTTGAATCCCAAGCCTGGCACTTAACCTCACACTGGTGGATGTATGTGTGTGCCCAAAATCCCAAGAGGAGAATGGAGGAGAAAGGATTGCTGAATGGCTATCCCCCCTTGGGAATGATTTCTGGCTTTCTGTCTCTCTGTCTCTTCAGTGAGTGAACATGCCCTATAGCAAAAATCTCTACTTCCAAATTTTTTTCATTCTCTTTCTATGTATTTTATTTGTTTTGTTTCTCTGGAAAATACAATATAGCAGGAATTTCACATTTTATATTGAGATGGTGAATGTCCATGTTTGGTATTGCACAGAACTTCAACAATGATCTTATTACAAATTTCTCAAGTTATTGAACTATAAGATAAATTGCTCGTTTTTATTTTCTTATTAAAAAACACAAATATTTAAAATAGATATCAAGTGGCCCTCACTAGAATGCAATCTCAAAAACATTCTTGAAAACATATTTAGTCAGGGGACTAGCAGGTGGAGTGGTGGTTAAGACGCTGGACACTCCCTCAAGGCTGACCACAGTTCAAGTCTCTGACCTGGTGGCTTGCTTTCTCACTTTCCCTCTCTCTCTTTCTCCCTCTGTGCCTCTCTCTGGTCAAATTAAAAAAAGATGAATGGATAAACAAATACTTAAAAAAAAGATTCTCTCTAAGAAAACATATTTAGTCAGTCTATCTTAGTTCATTTGTGCTCCTATAATGAAATGCATAGGACGAAGTAATTTATGAAGAACAGAAATTTATTTCTCACAGTTCAGGAGGCTAGAAGTCCATAATCAAGGTGCTATCAGGTTTAGTGTCTGGTGAAGGCCTAAATTCTTGTTTCGAAAATGGTACCTGTTGCTATGTCTTCTGCAGGGGAGAAATCTTGTGTTCTCACATGGTTGAAGATGGAAGGGCAAAAAGGGGTAAACTCTCTCTAAAGTCTCTTTAATAAGGCTATTAATCCATTCACGGGGGCTTCTCTCAGTCACTCCCCCAAAGGCCCTACCTCTTAGTATTACCACAATGCAGATAGAGTTTTAACATGAATCTTAGAGGGGACAAATCCCCTGAACACTATTTAAGTAATTCCATCAGAAGAATGTGATATTTTGAAAATAAATAATAAATAAATGCTTTCAGAATAAATTCTTGCTATGATGAGAGAGTCTTAAAGATATAAGTTTAGAAACTAGATTGTGTACTTAACATGTTTTTGTCTCTGGAAATGATGTGTTTATTTACAATAACTTTAATATCTACACATTAGAAAAAGGAACAGAATTTTTGAACTTATTTGGAAGTCTCGAGTTTCAGGGGGTTGAACCCATTTACAAATATAAAAATGTACCATCTTATATAGTGTGCAAGGAAAAATGAGTGGTGAGGGGAAGACAGAAACTGAACCTTTGCATAATTCATACTTAACATATAGGCATGGCAATGTAAGTGCAGCCAGAGATATGTATCTCCCACTGTGAACTGAGTGTTTGTGGGAGACATGATTTCTAGCCTTGAATGCCAATAAAACTCCAATACACATCCAAATAAACAGAACTAAAAAACATGTTGAATTGTGGCACCTCCAATATTTTCAAAAGGAATGCCAGACAGTCACTTTGCTCACACTAAAATAGTATTAATAATAATCTAACTATTTTATTCTATCATTAAAATACAAGCATTAAAATGCTATTTTAAAATTTAATGGCCATTTTTGATCATGTTTTATATAGTTATACAACTTATTAATGTGGTAGCACAAGGAGATAGTTCATACATAAATATATGCATGTTGAAAGTGAGTGCTCAAAATCTATTTATGGTTGGGGTAAATAATCAAAAGAGTTTGGAAAACAATGCTTAGAGTATTGAGAAGTAAATGACTGAAGAACTCCCCCATGTGGTGGGGGGAAGGTTACAGTTGTGACCCACACACTTCCGGGGCAACACTTGCACTACCATACAACAGGAAGTAAGGGAACAATCTATGCCCAGTAGAAAGCCCCAGGGAGAGAAAGCAAGGCTAGAGGGCAACTGTGCCAACTGGAATCTGTCCAGAAGGACAATGCCCCTCCTCTTGAAGAAATACCGTGGGACTTGGAAAGTAGGAGGGGAAGAGAATAGCTTGGAAGCCTATCAGGAAATACAGGAAATTTAATTTTAAAATTAGAAAAAGTTTTTATTTAATGGGATTAAGGAGAGCATTGGGTTAGTGCGGCTTAAAGATGTAAGAATGAGCGCAGAATGGCAGCCTGCCAACAACGTAGAGTGAGTACTTTCCCCTCCCCTTATCTAGAATGGCTCTTTGTATTTTATTTGTTTTCCTCCTGAAATATTAAACGGGTTGATTAGTTGATTCATTTTTAGGACATGCTTTCAAATACAGATACAACATGATGGCATGAATTTCATTTTTCTTTTGAATATAACTTTTGTTCAAACTGTTAGGGTCTGGCTGAGGGTTTGGAGTAAACAAAAACTCTTAGTTACCCAGAGTATTTACTAAGGAAAAAAAAAAAATGGTGAAGCTCAAACCAGATAGGAATAGAGCCATTTTTTTTTTTTAATTTCTATTGCCAGAGTAATTACTAGCCTATGAATAGTCTTGGTAAGACAGATGTGTGCACTGTGTTCTTCAGAGGAACAGAGGGAGGCATAAAGTTTTCAAAGAGTATATTGTGTTCAGTTGCACAATTGTCTCCTTCCTCTTGGCAAATATTTGATTATTGTGCAGGGGTGGAGATGGAAGAGAGGAGCAGATTATGCAGGGAACTAGACAGAATTCCCCTTCTGAACCTCTGTGGTTTCAAACAAAAGCAACTGAAGAGATAGGGGCTGCTTTTAAAAACATTTATTTCTTCCACGAGTAAGAGAAATAGAGACAGCACCCCAAAAGGGTCTTGACACTGTTATCCAGCCCCAGCATCAGCTAGTCCCCAAATCATGGGCATGGATGTATGTGAAGTCTTCATGGAAGTCTCTGGATACAAACCTGGAACCTTCCCATGTGGAACAGCCTTAAAGAACATGATGTTTTATTGCTGTGCCACCATCCGACCAACAAGAGTAGCTTTTAATGTCTGTCTTTACCTTCAGCAAGTGATATTTTTCAAGTTAAGGTGTGAACCCCTTCAAGGCTTCTTGTTTTTGTTTTCCAGGTCAGCCTCTGGCTCTGTCCTCAATGGAGACTGGGTGAGGGATAGCAGGACTCTGAATCCCAGAGGTCTGTAGAAGGGAGCTGCCCAGCCAAGAGCCATGACTCTTAGATTAGGAAGGTGTGTATGAACTCCAGTCATGTCCTAGAGGGTTTAGGTGTTTGGTGGAAATATCAGATGTGGAAATAGGTCTCTTCCTCTCACAGCTAGCAGCAGATACCTTAGTATCCAGATTCCAATGACTTTTCAAACTTCCATTGATATACCCATGTCTAAACCACTGTCATTTGCCCTTAGATGATTGCAATGTCTTTTAGCTGGTCTCTCAGCTTCCACCCACGTCTATTTTCAGCACAAAGTTAGACAGATCACTTGATAAATTAAGTCAGATTTTCCTCAAACATGCCAAGCAGAGACCCTTAGAATGTTCTTCCATTAAATGTTCATATGAATTACGCTGGACTGGCACCCTCTTCAGGCCTCTGCTGACCAAACCACCAGATAAAACATTAAAATATGTTCTGTTTTCCTGTAAAGAATTTACAGCACCTGATATATGCAAGATGTATTTTGTGTTGTGTAAAGAAATGTATCAGGGAAGCTACCCATTGCATTTCTTCTATCTGGTTTGCTAGTACTACCTCTGGATGATAGTTTATGATTTGCTAATTTTTATTAGAAATGTACTTTAATGTAATATGACTGCATTTTCATTATTAAAAAAAACCTGTTACTGTCTTTCCATCTATGTGGAAAGATGGAGCTTTGTGCAGTTATGATCAACCATTATTTTTTCTTTTTATCGGTTCTTGGGGTGATATCTGGCAACTGGGGTCTGGCAAATCTCTAGGATACCAGTTACTGTGGACTGGACTGAATTATGTCACCTCAAAATTTATATAATGAAACCCTGAACCCCAATATAATGGTAGTTGGAGACAGGCTTTTTTGAGGTGATTAATGTTAAATAAGACCATAAGAGTGAGGTCTTGATCTAATAGGATTGGTGATCTTATATGCAAAGAGTCTTCTTTTCTTTTTTCTCTCCACCTGCACACACTAAAAAAAGACCAAGTAAGAACATAGTTAGAAAGGAGCCAGCAGGTGGCATGGTGGTTAGGGCACTGGACTCCCACATGGCTAACTGTGGTTTGAGTCCTGGACCTGGTGGCTTTCTTTTTTTTTTTTCCTCTCTCTCTCTCATGAACACATATGCCCTGTAGAAATTTAAAAATAATACTGATGATCAATAATGTTGAATAAATAATTATTTAAAAAAAAAAAACACAGTGAGAACATGGCCATCTTGAAGCCAGGAAAAGAGCCCTTAGGAATTAAATTAGTGACTTTCTTGGTCAGACTCCAGAACATGAAAACCAAATTTCTCTGTGGTACTTTGTTATGGCAGCCTGAGCTAACTAAGACCCAATCCAGCAGAGCATTGCCAATGGTCAGATCATCTCAAGAAAGTTCTGGATACCATTTGGCCAGCCAGCACTAGTACTACCCACAATATCATTTCTACCTTTAAAGAATGGGTATCCCTTCAGGACTAAGGGAATACAAGAGAAGAGGTGATGGGAGGCAACTTTATACAGTGATTCCAGTTTTTTTTCTTTTTTTCACAAAAGAACTATGTGTTTGTTTCAGAAATTTTAATACAGAGGAAAATAAGAAGGAAAAAAATACCCTCTATGCCATTTCTCTGAGACAATCAGTCTTAACATTTTATTGTATTTTTTTCCCAGTATCTTTTCCATGGACAGATATTAATTCTCTTCTCATAGTCTAAGCACATTGTAACTACTCTTTGGACAGCCCACTTCCCTGTTACAGTTGCTTGGAGTTGTAGTTTTATACATTATTTGAAAAAAAAGTTTATTTCTTTCTTTGATGAGCCAAAGAGACAGAGAGAGAAGCAGAGATAGAATAGAGAGAGAGACAGAGAGAGACCTCCCAACAGAGTTTTAGCATGTGAGTCAGCCCCAGCCTCAGTCAGCCCAGATCAGGAGCACACACATCTGCAATATTCAGGAAGCCTCTGAATAAACTCAGACACTTCCCACATATGTCAGTATTTCAGAGCATTGTATTTTATGGTTGTGCCACTGTCTGGACTTTTACTATTATTATTATTATTTTTTAATTCATTGTAGGATGTATGTGCTTGTTGGAGAAAGAGAGACAGAGAAAGAAAGTGAGAAAGCAACCCCTCCTCTTCCCACTCACACACACTCATAGGAGGGATAGCCACATGCCACAATCCCTTCTCCTCCATTCTTCTCTTGAGATTTTGGGTACACAGGCACACACACCTGGCGTGTGTTTCAATCTGCAAGGTTTGAGACTCCAAGTGAGCAATTGGCCATCTGGTATCCAACCACTTTAACCAGCTGGTCACCAGCTGGGCCCCACCCCTCTTATGTTTTTAATATAAAATATAGTAATTATTGTTCAAAGCCAGGAGTTAATTTCATTTGCTGATATGAATAAATCTTTCTGTGTCCTCTCACTGTTTTTGTTTTTTATCTCATGCCTTCCCCATGGGGTTGTCTTTCTTTTTGTTATGGTACATTCTTTAATACTCGTTTTTGGGAAAGTGTCTTTGGGTGGTAAACATTCTTGGTCTTTTCCGTTTGTGAAAATATTTATTTTGCTATTACATTTGAGCAAGCATTCAATGGGTATAAAATTCTGGATTGGTGTCTTTTTCCCTCAGCAGGCAGTACCACTCACTATCCTCTGCTGTCTATGGCTGCAGTCTGGAAGTCCTCCCAAGGGCTAGTTCCTGGCCTTTCATGTGTAATCTGTGTCTTCTGTCTAGCCCTTTTAAAAATCATTGCCTAGTTATTTATGTCCAGTTGATATGGGACTATTTTTATTTATCAGAAGACACTATTGCTCCGAGAGCTCACATCTCTCTTTCACCTCAAAATGCTTAGTAAATTACATTTCGAATGTTGCTTTTTTGCCAGTCTTTCCATTTTCAATTTTGTGGACTTCTATTAATTAAATAGCAGAGACTCTCATTCTGTTTTCCATGTCTCTTTCCTGTCTTTCTAATTATTTTTAAAAACATTCTTTCTCTCTGAATCATATTCTGCGTTCCTCAGGGCTACCTTCTGGTTAATAAATTCTCTCTTCAACTAGGAACAGTCTAGAATTTATTCCGTCATGTCACTTTTCTTTCAATGACCATAATTTTTATTCTTCCGGCTTAATTGGTCCCAAGACTATTTTTCATAGTCTTGTTTGATTTCTTCCTGCTTAATACTTGTTCTTTTCAATGGACACGATGGTTTCTTTTATCCTCTGCTATGTACTTCATTTTAAAGTCTTGGTCTGATATTTCTGTGAAATTAGTTTCATACTGGAGTACTTCTGGGTTCAAATGATTTCTTTTCTTTTTTTTTTTTTTTTTTTTTTTTTGGCGGGTTTGTCTCAAAGG